TCTAAAATTTATAAAAATCAAAAGGGAGCTCACAGCAATAGATATAAACAATTCACCAATGTTTCATGCAAATTGGTTTAAGCGTGTTTGAGTTATTGTCCGACATGTTGACAATGGACAGACAGAGGGACGGTCAACGGTATACCATAATATGTCCCGTATGTCTATCATATTTGTTTTTCGTAAGTTGTTTTGTTATAAATTAGGTAATTTGTTTTCACAATTGAATTGTTTCATATTTTTCATGTCGGAGTCTTTTATAGCCGACTATACGGTATGGGTTTTTTCATTGTGGAAGGCCTTACGGTTGCCTTCAATTGCTTACATCCACTTCATTTGAACTTTAGTGGATAGTTGTCTCAATGGCAATCATACCACATCTCTTTATTTTTATATATGTGGACATATATTTTCGTAACAATATGATAGTTATCTCTTTTTACAAGAATTTTTTTTATACAAGTTTGTATAACGTATTATCATTAACATTTGTTAAACAGTAGTGTATTATCTTAAATATAAAGTAGAGAAAAAACATTAAATGAACAATGAAAAAAATGAATCTAAACTTGACTTTTAATGTAGCCATTTGTCATGTTATTTAAATAATTTTCACAACACATAAAAACGGACAAAAGGAATTTCAAAATTTCCACACTGCACAACAGACAACAACAATGTTTTAGTTGCCTTTATTTCATAGTACTTGGCTTATGTTTTGATATCCTTAATTCTTAGCCCTTTTATCTTAAATATATTATAAAACGAATATAATTTAATTTATAATAATTTTGATAATTTTGATAGTAATAAAATAAAAATAACATTTATATATGATTTACCTCTTATGATTTTTTTTTAATTTTACCATTAAGTTATATTTTCTAGAATTTTTAAAAAGAAATTTGTATTCGTTTCCTGTTTTATTGACTTGTAAAACAACGATAAACATAAGACTTTTCAGGTACAAAATATGAAACAAAATTGTCAACCTGTGGCAGTAAAATTACACACCTGGATGACCACCTGTCAATTGGCTCAACAGGTAGTAATATTCAACTTCCCCACAAGTGCATGGTTTATGACTCCCAATTAATGCCTGACATCCAATGTCAGACATAGAGGATGCTGATGATTTATCAGACTATGTCTTAGTGTGTACTGTACCATGTTTGATTTTCGGGCTCGTTTTTTACTAAAATTATGCAGAATAAAGCAATAGGGTATTTGACAAAATGTTGAGTGATATACATGTACGACCTTGGAGAATGTCAACCGGAAGTCACCTTAATGATACCGGAAGTAACAATTTTTTTTTAATGGAAACCAGGAAACCATATATTTCTTTTAATAGGCATAAATAAACCTATCATTTAAAACCAGTAGTGACCTTTTAAAAACCAATAGAAGTTAATGATCCCTTCCATTTCCGGCAATAGTATAGAGATACCATATATTTGTTTGAATCAGGGTGAATAAATCTATCACAGGATCGTGAAGGGAGAAACTTATTATTTCCATTATTTCAGGCAAAAGTATATAAAAACCCTATATTTTTAGAACCAGTGTAAACAAGTGAATTTGTGAGCTACTGCTCACTAATGATACCCCCGCCCCGCTAAAAGTATAAGGTAAACAGAAATTTGTTGAGTGATGAATCTGAAAACTCATCACACGGTATAGCTGACTCATATTAACCCTGAAACCAAATTTCAGAAATCCTTGTAATGTAGGTCCCGAGAAAGATGCGACGAAAAATATTCATGGGACGGACGGACGGACTGACGGATGGACGGATGGACTGACGGATGGACAGACAGAAGTAAAAAAGTATACCCCCACTTTTTTAAAGCGGGGGTATAATAAAGCTATCAGAGGAGATCAGAAGTGAGATGTTCTTAACCGGAAAAAAACACATTGTCTCCATTATTTCAGGCAAACGTATATACTTTTCTGTAGCTTGTATGCAGACATTTGTTAAGATCACGTGACGGTCAGTCTTTGAAAATTCTTTTAATCTGTACTCAAATTCACATCTTCATGTGTGTACTTTGAGTTTTTGACGGCATGATGGTGTATTTCTGATCATTTAAAACAAATTATACACATCTTACGGTGGTTTAAAACGGCAGTGCTGGTGGATATACACCTAATCGCTATTTGTCCGCCATTACTGGATATCACAAAGGTTCCCGTAAAATTTTGACGTCATAATACAAAATATCTGACGCAACAATGGTAAAGTGATTGTTGTATGACGTCAATAGTTCAAGCGGGACAGATTCTCGGGTTCACCCGGACAGATTTCCAAATAGCGGTAAGGTGTATTGACGGATTTGAGTCATATTCATAAAAAAAAAATATAAAAAAACAAGCATTCTGAGAGTATTGCATGTATTGTACTGGAACACAATGCTAGCTTGATATATAACTTGTCATGGTGTAAACTATGTAACAAATATCAAGTCAATATCTTCAAGCATCAGCTGCATGACCAAAACTAGAGGCTCTCAAGAGCCTGTGTCGCTCACCTGTATCGACTGTTGTTTTGGAAATCATGTAAAATAAGGTTAAAATCATAATTAATAGTATTAGATACTCTAATAATGATTGAGGCCAAGTTTGGTTTAATTTGGCCCAGTAGTTAAATTAAAAACAGCTCATCCCATTGTAGTTTTACAATACTTACTGACGAACCCTTGTCATTATTCAAATACGTTTTCAAGTTGTGACCATTTGAAGTTGTTCTTTTTACAATTTTCCCTTAAGACTTCTATAGTAAACCCCTATGTTCTATTATTAGCCATGGTGGCTATGTTGGTTGGATGACAGAGTCATCGGATACATTTTTCAAACAAGATACCCTATTGAAAATTGTGGCTAATGTTAATTCTATTTGACCCAGTAGATTAAGTGGAGAAGATTTTTGTTAAAGATAACAAAAATTTACGAAAAATTGACTATAAAGGGCTATAAACTCCTTAAGGGGTCACTTTTTAGCCATAGCAGCCATCTTGGTTGATAGGCAGGGTCATCGGATACATTTTTTAAAACTAGATACCCTACGGATGATTTAGGCTAAGTTTGGTTTAATTTTGCCCAGTAGTTTTAGAGGAGAAGATATTTGTAAAAGACTACAAAAAATTTACGAAAATCGTGAAAAATTAACTTTAAAGGGCAATAACTCCTTATGGGGTCAATTGACAATTTTGGTCATGTTGACTTATTTGTAAATCTTACTTTGCCGAACAATTTTGATGTTTACAGTTTATATCTGTATCTATTATAATATTCAAAATAAAAACCAAGAATTGCTAAATTTCCTTAATTTACCAATTCAGGGGCAGCAACCCATCAACGGGTTGTCTCATGCGTCTGAAAATTTCAAGGCAGATAGATCTTGACCTGATAAACATATTCACCCCACGTCAGATTTGCTCTAAATGCTTTAGTTTCAGAGATATAAGCCAAAAACTGCATTTTACCCCCATGTTCTATTTTTAGCCATGGCGGCCATCTTGGTTGATGACCCGGGTCATCGGATACATTTTTTAAACTAGCTACCCTAAGGATAATTTAGGTTAAGTTTGTTTGTATTTGGCCCAGTAGTTTCAGAGGAGAAGATTTTTGTAAAAGTTAACAGACAAGGACGACGGACGCCAAATGATGAGAAAAGCTCACTTGGACCTTTTGGGCCAGGTGAGATAAAAAGTGTGAAAAACTGATTATATGAGTGAATTTCAAAGTCCAACGACCATAACTTTGCACAAAATCATCAGACCAGAACAAATTCAAACTTGATCTGTAACTTGTCAAAATAAAACTATATATATACCAATTATTAAACCTATCTTATCAAGCATGATGAAAAAAAGTGTGAAAAACTGATTATTTGAGTGAATTTCAAAATCCAACGACCATGACTTTGCACAAAATCATCAGACCAGAACAAAATTCAAACTTGATCTGTAACTTGTCAAAATAAAACTAAATATATACCAATTATTAAACCTATCTTATCAAGCATGATGAAAAAAAGTGTGAAAAACTGATTATTTGAGTGAATTTCAAAGTCCAACGACCATAACTTTGCACTAAATCATCAGACCAGAACAAAATTCAAACTTGTTCTGTAACTTGTCAAAATAAAACTAAATATATACCAATTATTAAACCTATCTTACCAAGCATGATGAAAAAAAGTGTGAAAAACTGATTATTTGAGTGAATTTTTTAAGTCCAAGGACCATTACTCTGAACAAAATCATCAGACCAGAACAAAATTCGAACTTGATCTGTAACTTGTCATGATAAAACTATTTATACCAATTATTGAATCCATATCTTCATGTATGACGAAAGAAAGTGCAGAAAACTGACTATTGAGTGAATTTTCTTAAGTCCAAGGACCATTACTCTGAACAAAATCATCAGACCAGAACAAAATTTGAACTTGATCTGTAACTTGTCATGATAAAACTATATACCAAATATCAAATCAATATCTTCAAGCATAAGGAAAAAAAGGTTGGAAAACTGATTTGCCGGACTGACGAATAGACAGACAGACAGACAGAGAACCAGACAGACAGACAGACAGACAGACAGAGTCCAAACCTAAAGTCCCCTTCAACTTCGTCGGTAGGGGACTAAAAATAGACAGGATTTTTTTTTACAAAAATCAGGGTACAATAAATAGTAAATGAATCCACAATATTAGCATAACTTAAATGATGCATTATGATATTGTACATTTCTGTTTCTAGATAAGGTAGGTGCATGGTATGTATATTTGTATAGTACCCAAAAAGTCAAGAGACAAGTGCTTTTGGTATGGGTCTTGAGCTATATTTATTTTTGTATTTGCTACTTTTCTGCTTTTTATCCAAATAGGCAAAACATCCATATGGACTGCCACCATGGACTAATAGTTGGTCAGTCACTAGGTCAGCTAAAATGTTGATACCTTATTATGACCACACGAATACAAAAACACAAAAAAAGCTGATAATATTTTTATTACAGGATATCAGATTTGTTCCATTAACAGTACACAGTTAAGGTATATTTCAAATACAGTCAAACCTGTATGTAAAGGTCACCCTAGGGACCAGAGAATACAGACCTTTCAAGACAGGTGACCTTTTAAATGAGGTTCACCATACATACGTATCACTACAGTGAGATTAAAATAGGCCGATCTGACATGACAGGTTTTTGTTTAAAAGATGTGAACTTTACATAATAAACTGTTAACACAGAGATATGTCTCGCCTTTTTGTAATTTTGATAATGCAAATGTTGAAATTAAAATTGCAATACTTTAACATGTAAGTTATGCAAATATTCAAAGTCAATGAACCATGACTGAAGGTACATGGCTAAACAATCTCCATGGACATGAGATGTGCCAATGCTAATACAACTTCATACCAAATACCAATGACTTATCATGAGTTTTTTTTCATTTAAACAAACCTAAACACAAACATTAACTTGTAAACTATGTAAAAGTTTCAAAGTCAATGAACCATGATGAGGGGTGGGGCTATATAATCTCCATGGAGACGAGACTTGCAAATGCCAATACATTTGCACACCAAATATCATTGACTTAACATTAGTGGTTCATCTTAAACTGATCTAATCACAACAAATACATGTAAACTAAGCAAAAGTTTCAAAGTCAATAGACCATGAGGGTGCAGGGCCAAATATTCTCCATGGAAATGAGATGCGCTAATGCTTATACAACTGCATACCAATTAACATTGACCTACCACTAATGGTTCCCCTTAAACTGACCTAATCGCAAACAAATACATGTAAATTAAGCAAAAGTTTCAAAGTCAATAGACCATGACTGAGGGGGCAAGGCCAAATAATCTCCATGGAATTGAGATGTGCCAATACTAATACAACTGCATACCAAATATCATTGACCTACCACTAGTGGTTCTCCATAATCTGACCTAGTCACAAACTAATACATTGTTGATGCTGGTGCCACCGGAAACAGCATACCTATGTTTGGCTTTTTGACTCCGTCAAGGCGAGACAAAAATGAGAAGCTGTGGTAAGATTGCCAACTCTCCACCAGACGAAATGACATAGAAGTTAACAACTGTATGTCACTAAACGGTCTTCAACAATGAGCAAAACCCATACTGGTTATAGCAAGTATGACTGTAGCTATACTATCTTTATTCACTAAGCCATGAAATTAAGCATCAACAAAAATAGAATTTTTCTTTCGATTCAAAAAAGTTTTCACCCAAGAAAATTAATGAATCCAAAATAGGGATTCAAGGTTTAATACAATCATCAATATCACATGTCAGTACCTTTAGAAGTTCCTATGAAACAATATTTGGTACATCAATAGACAAATAGCACCTCACTAAAAAAATGACTACAAATAATTTGTATAGACTGCCAAAATGAGCTGAATTACATGTTAGTTGCTTGTATAACATATTTCTATCACATGGAATGATTCTGACATCATAAATTACACAACTGATATCACAAATGTAAAACAATTAAAAATAGAAAACTACCTTATTGATGTACACGTATAATTTTACACAAAACTCTGGAAGACCTGCCTCCAAGCTACTATTTTTAAGTACATGGACAACAGATTATAACAAAAGAATGTACTTAGTACTAAGTTACAGTTAATATCCACAAGAATATTGAAAAAAAAATCATTCCACATGCTGTATCTTAAAGATTCTGCCCAGGTTTCATGACATTCCACGAAATTTTATCAAAGTTATTGATGTCTTCAACAAATTAAACGCAGTGTGCATCTAAATGATAACTGCAAAAAATAAGTATTATTAGTAAAATAAGGAAAAAAGAAAAATAAAAAAAAACAATACTGGACCAAAAACCAAACATAAATTACTACACACAATCATGTTGCTAAAAAATTAAAATTGTCTTAAACTAACAAAACTTAATCTAAAACAAATGGAATAAAATAATTGAACTTGATGAAAAACACTTAAAATGAGTGATAAACACACAATATTGTATCTGTTAACAATGAAAAGTTTTAGAATTAACATGAAAGTATAACTTGCATGTCTGTGATTCTGGGGTTATTTCCCAGTAATACTAATGGAACCAATAATTCTAAAATTATGAAAGCAAACCTTTAGGGACCAGGCGCATATCCAGGATTTGGTGTTAGGGGGTGGGGTGTGCTCCTGAGAATTACAAATTAGAGGACCATATTTTGACAAAAAAATGGCTGTAATTTTACCTATAAATAACATTTTTTTGAAAGGGGAGGGGGGCACACACCTGGGGTCAACTTATGTTCTTCAAAAATGGCTCTCTACAATGTATTACTCAAAATCACAAGTTTATAAAATTAAGAAAAAATTTAACATAGAGGCAGTTTTAACTATACATAAAAAGGTAAGGTGTAAAAATTTATTTAATAGGTATAGAACATTTATACCATTTTGATTTAGAAAACAGAAAATTATTGAAATTAAAAAGAAATTTCCTTCCCTAAAAAACAATATGATGTGCATGGACCTGCAAAACCTGACAGAAAATTTAACAACCTAATATTTTAAATGATAAGTTGCTTATTATAAGACTTACATAATAAAACCAGGAATATAATTATTGTTTAAGGATGAAATATATAATAAGAATAATTACATTGAAAACATTTTCATACCATTACTCCAAACCTGAGGGGTTACATTAGATGTCTTTCATTTGTATGCAAATTTGTTTGCCATTACTTAAAATCACACAAGTTCCCGCAAAATTTTGCATCATAATTTAAAACATTTGACGTCATAATCAAAAAGTGATTGTTACATGACGTCAGAAAGTTATAATAGGACCCTCATGCAAATGATATCTAAATAAAATGCTTGACATATGGAAAAGATTTCTTTAAAAACATGTGCCATGGTGTGCATGGAACCTTTACTAACACATTGCAATACATACCAAAAATTTGTTAGTGTAGACAGATCTAGGGTCATTCTCATATAATCCTGCTAAATACCCAAAAGGTTATATATGTCTATTCACCAAAATGTGACAAATCAGAGTAATTAATAACTTGACGTTACCATGGTTCTATCTGAATTTTTTATTATAATAAAATGTATTATAAACGGGGTGCTATAAGTTTATGGAAAACAGTGCTATTTTTAAATTTCATTGTGCTATATGAAAATACTGGGAAAACCCTGACACTCCTTGGTCCTTGATACAAATAAAAAAATATATACTAAATGCATAACACAAACAAAATAGATATCAACAACATCCTCCCTTTTTCTCTGGCGTCATTGCTGTACTTTCCCCTAAGTCAACTGTCCCACGGTTTTTATTTTTCATTTTTATCCGTTCTACATCTGACAATGGTAGGCAATGTCCAAATATATATTCAAACACCTCGTCCACATTTATTCCTTCAAGACTAGAGGTTTCAAAATATGGATCATGTTTCAACTTGGCATACTCAACATTAGGATTTATCTCCCTTGAATATTTCCTGGCTTCATCAACAGTAACTTTACGTTTACCAGGATTTAGTAAGTCTAATTTAGTTCCTACAATAACCTTAAAACAATTATCTTCTGTTGCTTGATCAACCAGAGGAACAAATCTCGATCTGAAAAAAAAATTTCATGCTTGAGTAATTCTCATTGAAATTTCTTTGTGTTGTTTTAGAAATTCAATTTTGAAAAATATGACTTGTTTGCTGTTTAAACGTTAAACTCAGGGTTTCCAAAACAGTCATGTTTGCTAGACAAATCTGTCAGAATAACACTGAACCAGACTTGTAGTGTAATGATTAAGAAACACTGCTGGAGGAGTTTTTATTTCCCGAGGGTATCAACAGCCCAGTAGTCAGCACTTCTGTGTTGACATGAATTATCATTGATATGGTCATAATTATAAATTAACTGTTTACAAAACTTTACATTTTTGAAATACTAATGCTTTTCTACCTCAGGAATAGATTAGGCCACAATTAAAAATATTTCAGTTTGCCCACGACCCATGATGACTGGGTGTGGGTAGGTAGGTAGGCAAATTCTTTTTTTTTTATCAGAATTTGCATGAAAATATTAAAACAGTATATCTTTTTTTTCCGTCAAATCTTTGTAGAGACAATCTAAAGCTATGAAAAACTGTCTGCCATTTTCACATGTTTTACTTCTTTACAGGGATGTCACTAGGTTTTGAAGTAGCAGGATTAATAATTAAAGTAGCAGGCAAGGATTGTGGACGTCATAGACGTCTAGTGCGACAAGCTTGCTCGTCGCCCATCACAGCGAGTTTTTTTTTTCTAAAATGGTGCAAAAATCCTGCATTCTGGGGGCTCCTGAACTCTAATTTAGTCCTAATCAAACACCATTTTTTTTAATGATGATAAGGTAAATGAGCAGCAAGATGGTCACATATTTTCTATAAAGTTGATCACATAAATATTATTATCACTATAACAAGACTTTCAGCTAACAAGTAATTGAAGTTGTTTTAGGAAAATGATGAAGGATGACTCTGTAAGACATGGTGATCATTCAGGAAAAGATTCAAATTTGAATTTATTAGTGGAAAATATTTTTAGTTTAACTGTAGACATGCAATTATTCAAATAATTCGAACCCATAGACATTTTTTTTTATTTCTCAGTATTAATAATTTCACATACTTATTACAATAAATCAAATGATGAATTGGACTGTTGCAGGCAAAAAGGTGAACTCTTTAAGGATGTACTTTGGTGAAATTAGAAAAATGTAGAATTTAAAATTGATACTATAAGTCAGAAGACTTCAAGAGCATTTAAGTTAAGAAGCAAACTAATGGAAAGAGAAGAAATCTACAATCTGCTTAAATTTTGGTATATGACCTTTTATGAGTTATTAATTGAAGTATTATATATGGAAAAAAAATGGGGGTCATGGGGCAAAATATTTTACCCTGTATCGTAGGAAAAAACCAGAGTCCAAACATCTGACAGAAATTCCAAAACCTGACCTAAGTACATTCTTAAATGCATAATCATGCAGGGCTCACACTACTTCAGAATCATAGGGAGAAGTGACTTCTCTTTTTGAAACTGATAGGGAGAAGTGCTCCTTTGCACACTGTGCTACAATGTTTGGTTTTTACTACCTATAGTACAAAGGGTCATATGTAAATAATGTTCTTTTTATATTGTTCAATTCATATCTGAGTATACAATTAAAGTAAAAGTTCAAATTCAAAGTTGTTTAAGTTTAGGTTCTTGTGAGAAACTACCAACTAAATATCTAGCACTAAAAAGATTTTTTTTTATGACAAAAAGATAAAGAAATTATAATATATAAATCACAATTCAATTAAAAAACTATCTTGTTTATCATGTTTATGAAATTCAGTGTTTCTCATCAAAAGATATACAAAGTTAAGCTGGGCCATATATATTGATATTAGTATTATAGTCCCAGAGTTAATTTAGCAAGTTTAATCAATATTTTGAAACAATCCATATATATGGAATTATATACATTAATCAAGTAAATCTAACAAATAGTCTGTTAATGCGTGTGGAATGCGCAATTTTTCCATTTGGGACCAATTTCCTTGTCAGCTGTTCCATTCATGCGTCCGTAGTTATTATTGTAAAAATACGGATTTCGGTCATAGCTGGTCCGTTTCCGATCCGTAGTTAGAAAACAGTTAATGGCGGATGTAGAAAATTTACAAAAATAAACGATGTTTGACAAGCTATTTGGAAAGGAATATAACGTTTTTAATGCAATAAATGGATTATATATTAAAAACATTTACTGGAGGCAATTTTTATCACGTTCAAATGAAGTAACAAACTTATTTTGTCGCCGAAAGTTTGATTGATGTACGATCTCGTGTAACAAGTACCGGAAGTGAATGAAGTGATAAAAAGTTGTTTTTTATTAAATAATCTGCTTCACACTGTAAAGTCAATGCTTAAATCTCTGTTCTTCAGAAAATGAATCGTTTATGTCTGAATTTCTTTAATTATCAATGTTTCATAGACTTGGTAAAAAATGAAAACTTTGTGAAAATATTATTTTTGACAATTTTGCAGTAGCGGCGCCAAAGCAGAAGTAACCGTTCGTTAAATCAGAAGATAAAAACCGAGAACATCGAATATCTATTAACTGCGTCTAGTACACACTTTCTTTTAATCTTATTCACAGTTACTTTCAAACGCAAAGACGACGAACATTAAGTTTTAAACAATGACGGAGCGGACACGAAAAAGATCCGAAAAAAAAAAAAATTCGTCAAAAAAACGGCAAAAAAAGAATTTGAGTTGGCTGGGTTTTTTTGGGTCGGTCGCGTTTGGGCAAACATACAATATTTTTATTTTGGCCTTACCTTAGCTGTATTTGGCAAAACTTTTAGGAATTCAATGCTCTTAAACTTTGTACTTTATTTGGCCTTTTTAACTTTTTTTGATTCAAGTGCCACTGATGAGTCTTTTGTAGACGAAACGCGTGTCTGGCGCAAATACAAAATTTCTATCCTGGTATCTATGATGATAGACAAAAGAAGATGTGGTATGAGTGCCAATGAGACAACTCTCCATCCAAGTCCAAATTTATAAAAGTAAACCATTATAGGTCAAAGTACGGTCTTCAACAAGGAGCCTTGGCTCACACCAAACAGCAAGCTATAAACGGCCCCAAAAATTACTAGTGTAAAACCATTCAAACGGAAAAACCAACGGTCTAATCTATATAAAAAACGAGAAACGAGAAACACTTATCAGGGGACTTATTGAAATAAGTGATTTTTAAATCACTTTTTTAAGTAGCAAATACGAAGTTTTGTCACAAATTGTGATTTTGTAGTTTTACCAAAATTTTAAACCACATAGGTTTAGATAATATCTTATCATTAGTAAAATTGAAAAAAAATGAACTTTTTGCTTCTTTTAAATAGAAGGTTTATGCCTTTGATGAAATCATTTAGCTGCAAATTCTATTTTAGTTGAAAAAATGCTATAATAATGGCTTTACATAATGAACTGATACTTTCTTAACAGATTTTTCCCAGCAGTGGGAGTATTTTTCCTGTAAAATTCAAGGTTTCATCTTACAGATTATGTAATAAAATTCTACTGTTCGCGATGAAAATTTCACTGTTCGGGGGTGTTGAAATTAGTGGGGGGTTATTAAAATAATGATACTTAAAGAAGTGATTTTTTGGAAGGAAATTGAGGTATGATACTTAAACAAGTGATTTTTTTGTCATTATCCTAGATTCATTACAAGGTCATCACCTGACATGACCCGGTCCTCCTATCAACACAGATGTTGGTTCTGATAATTTTAGCAACATTATTAGTCCCTGGATCATTAGTATTCTATATTTAAAGCTACAATAAAATTAAATCACTTAGTCTAGTGATTAATTTGTACTACTTAAATAAGTGATTATTAAAGAAAGACAACTCTTACTTCCAACCTTTATGGACATAATGTTACTTGAATCAGTGATTTAGAAAATCACTCATTTAAGTAAGTCCCCTGACTGCTAATGAACCACATCAACAAACGACAACTACTGAACATCAGATTCCTGACTTAGGACAGGTGCAAACAATTGCAGTGGGTTTAAACATTTGAATGGTACCAAACCTTCACCCTTATCTGAAACAATAGTGTAACATCACAACATAGAAAGACACACTATAAAATATCAATTGAAATGGCTTAACTCATTCAAAAGACATATTAACACCAGTGAATATGAGTTTATTTAGAAGTTTAGGCCATCATTTTGGATAGACAGGTTTCCCTGAGACAGACATATGTTTTCTGGTTCTATGAGTGACATAAAGACTACTGTGGATTCATTTATTTTCGTGGGTACCAATTTTCGTGGATTAAGGCAAACTTACATGTTCCTGGATATCTAATTTCGTGGTTTTGCAGAAGTCTGCATACAAGCCTATAGAACATTTGTTATTCGTTGAACATTTAATTTCTTGGTTGACCTGTACCCACGAAATCCATGAAAATTAGTATCCAACGAATAATAATGAATCCACAGTAATTACTGTAAAAAGAAACCCTTATCAAATACTCTGTCATAGAAACAGTTAATGCTTCATTATTTAGTGTTGCTCAGTCTTTAGTTTTCAATGTTGTGTTTTGTATACTGTTGTTTGTCTTTTGATCATTTTTCATTTTTTTGTCATGGCATTGTCCGTTTGTTTTTTCGACTTATTGAATTTAAATATATCCCTTTTGTATCTTTTGTCTCTCTTTTACTAACAAGGTTTAATTGGTTTTTAGACAGCTACAATGTACCTAATTATCTGACAGGTTAAAAAGTATCAGACAAAGATAGTTCTTTTTTTAATGGCTATCATGGTTGACTGCTTTGCAAGGAAATAGTTCAGCAATTAATGATTTAGTTTGTCAAAACTGATAATGCAAACGATTTTTAGCCAAGAAACCACAGAACCACATGTTTACAAATGTACAAGTGTGTGTATAAGTGTAAAATGTATCTGCAAGAAGATATGTTCTGTCTACTGATATGTGATTTCATCAAGCAATTTAGTCGCCTTTTTAAGTTATAATTGGAATTTCTGAGGAAAGCATGAAAATTTTAAGAAGTAAGATCAAACAAACAACACATATATGGGGGGGGGGGGGGGGGGGTAGGACCTTTATCGGGACTCCGGGATCGGGTGTTTTTAAGCTCTGGATTTCAGGATTGATCCTTTTGGGATCTGGGAATTCTTTTTTCGAATTTCGGGATTTAAATTTTTTAAATTCGGGACCTCAGGATTCCATGTTTTTAAGCCCGGGATTTCGGGATCAGGACCCCTCCTACCCCCCCCTATATATTATAACAAAAATAATCAACCGGGCAGGGAAAGTATAAATCAGCTCAGATTTCGAAAAAAACATTGTAACTATATTTATATCATTACAAAACATATAAAAATTGAGGAATTTGGTATATTTCTATCTTGAAGAAAATGATAATTTTGCTAATCATAATCTAAAAGAACCCTAGGGCTTTGTGTCATTTTTTACCATTATTTTTCAGTGAAAGTCCAAATTCAACACCCTTCATCCATGTCATCCCACCTTGTAGAACCCAACTTTTGTGTTAATTATTTATTAATGTTAATAGTCTCCCCTCCTCCTGAATATCTATGAAATACCTGCCACTGGATGTTAAGCAAGCAACAATCAATCAATCAAATAGTTATTTGTTTACACTTTATATTATTTGTATAAATACTCACTTTAGAGTTTCAAAGGTGTTTTCAATACATAAGTCAAATGCCAGGATAGCTGCCCCAGCATTTCTACAATAAAATGACGATAGCCCTGAAAATCTCTCATCTCCAGCAGTGTCCTACAAAACAAGTACAAACGAACTATAAAATTATTTTGAAATCGAAAGATATCATATTCTTAATGATTAATACAGGCAGATATTATTTTTATGACAAAATTTCCTTCAACATTCAAGAACCTTAACTTAATCAATCGTACGAAAGTAGCTGACATTACAGTTTATGGTTACATTAACAAGCATGAAGACAAAAAAGTGTGGAAAACTGATTATTTAAGTGAATTTTCTAAGTCCAAGGACCATAACTCTGCACAAAATCATCAGACCAAAACAAAATTCAACCTTGATCTGTAACTTGTCATGATCAAACTATATACCAATTATCAAATCAATATCTTCAAGCATGACAAAAAAAACTGTGGAAAACTGATTATTTGGGTGAATTTTCTAAGTCCAAGGACCATAACTCTGCACAAAATCATCAGACCACAACAAAATTCGAACTTGATCTGTAACTTGTCATGATAAAACAATACAACAAATATCAAATCAATATCTTCAAGCACGAAGAAAAAAAGTGTGGAAAACTGATTTGCCCGACAGACAGACAGACAGACAGACAGACAGACAAACAGACCGAGTGCAAACCTAAAGTCCCCTTTGACTTCGTCGGTAGGGGACTAATTAAGTTCTATAAACTGAAAAAAACAATACTTAAACATGTGGAAGTTTTCTATAGAATGTTGCTAAACAAAAACAAACTGAATTGTGAGCTATACCCCGCTATAAGTATTGGGTAAACAGGAATTGATCAGCAATGATGTAAACATGTATCACCATGATCACAGGGTATATAGCAACCTCACAAGAAGCTTGATTTTCTAATTTCTGAAAGCACTGATTTGTAGATTCAAAGAAAAATGCAACAAAAATTCCATTTTTGGGCAAGAAAATATTATAGTATTCAGCATGTTCAGTAAAAAGGAAGTGGTATAATTAGCAGACATATTTTTTTCCTTTTCATTCAGGATTCCAAATTAAAATTTTCAAATTAAGTTTGGTGGATATTTCATTTCTTCAGCATGATTCACTGTCTGCAACTATTCACAAAAAAATCTTGTAACTTTGGAACATCAACATGATTAATCAGAAAAATTTCTTAATCAAGATCCTTTCATCATGTTCATCAAGCCCAACATGCCCAATAGCAGTTTAAATTTAAAGTTTTGGAGTAAATCAATCTTACTGAATGAAAAAGTTGTACATAAGAATAAAATGTTCCAATGATCATGATGATGATATTTGAATACGGTAACAAATTAAAAACACAGTACGAGAAAATCACAAAAAAATCATACATACATGTAATTTGACTCATTGGCACTCATACCACATCTTCTTATATATAACATGTATAATTAACATGATTAACACATATAACTTACAAAAAATTTTAGTCAGGTGATGTTTTGTAAAAAGAATTGCATGAGTCAGGAGCCTTTAGTTCAGTGGTTGTCGTTTTTTTTCAAATCTGTCACTGATTTGTTTTTCGTAAATTGTTTTGTTATAAATTAGGCATTTAGTTTTTTCAATTGATTGTTTCATATTTCTCATGTGGGGTCTTTTACAAGTGTTTTATAGCAGACTTTACGGTATGGGGTTTTCTCATTGTTCAAGGCTGTCCAATTGCTCATACATGTAATTGCTTACATTCACTTCATTTGAATTTTGGTGAATAGTTGTCTCATTAGCAATCATACCACATCTCCTTATTCTTATATGCATATTCTAAACAGTGTTACTTACTAGTTACAATATATAGTTGCAAAATAGAATAATGGACAAAATGTGTAGAATAAAGGACAAAAAAAAATAAAGAACAGAGAATAATCAATGATAATGGGGTGCTAAAACATAAAGAATAGAGAATAACAGGCAAAATTTATAAAAAATAGAGGAAAATGAAAAAAATACAGAAATAAAGAAACCCCATCCAGACCCTAATCTTTTATTTCATTTGGAATCATCAATCAACACATTTCAATTTGTTACTTTAAGCCTCCTCATATAGATTTTTAGTCAGCATTGAATATTTGACATGTGTGGCATGCTAGAGAAAATCCGGCTTCATCATGTCCAAGAACTTTGTTAGGTACATGTATGTACATATTTATATAAAAAGTTCAGAATTTTCTTGTCTTAAATAGAAATTAGACTTACCCAAACAGCAAAATTATATGGTCCCCATTGTTTAAACAGAAATTAGACTTACCCAAACAGCAACATTTAATATATGGTCCCCATTGTTTTAAATAGAAATTAGACTTACCAAAACAGCAAAATTATATGGTCCCCATTGTTTAAACAGAAATTAGACTTACCCAAACAGCAACATTTAATATATGGTCCCCATTGTTTTAAATAGAAATTAGACTTACCCAAACAGCAACATTATATGGTCCCCATTGTTTTAAAAAGAAAGCTGCTCCAATGGTCTAAAAAAGGTAAGACATGAGATAAAATTAGAAAAATCACTAATTGCATGCAAGACAAGAATTTCGATCATGTCTAGTAATTGTAATTCACAACTATAAACACCAATGCTGTAGTATATGATTAGATCTGTTCAAGCTGGTAGGCAACCCAAAAAAAAGGAGGTACTTGTAGACCTAGGGCAAGGAACAAGTCAGGAGCCTGTAATTCAGTGGGTGTAGTTTGTTTCTGTAAATCATATTGTTTTTTGTTTATTGTATTGTACATAAATCAGGCCGTTAGTTTTTTTGTTTGAATTTTTGTACATTTGTCAATCTGGGGCCTTTTATAACTTACCATGCAGTATGAGTTTAGCTTATTGTTAAAGGTCTCAGTAACCATTGGTTGTTAAGTTTTACGTCATTTGGTCTCTGGTGGAGAGTTGTCTCATTGGTAATCATACCACATCTTCTTAATTTTACATATTAAAACAACTGTTAAACTTTAATCATGTTAATGGTGTGTTTATTTGTTCATAAAATATTAACATGATTAGGTGCCCATGTTGACCAACATCATGAACACGGTGTTCATACAATATAAAAAGCCCAAGTTGACCAACATGGTGTTCATACAATATAAAAAAGCCCAAGTTGACCAACACGGTGTTCATACAATATAAAAAGCCCAAGTTGACCAACATGGTGTTCATACAATTTAAAAAGCTCAAGTTGCCTAACATGGTGTTCGTAAAATAAAAAGAGCTCAAGTTGCGTAAAAAACATGTTGCACAAGCTATAAACTGATCTAATGATAAAATGCTTCGCTGGGCGCAGCTTGATACGACCGCAGAGGTCGAACCCTGAACAGTTGGGGCAAGTATGGACACAACATTCAAGCTTGATACAGCTCTGAATTTGGATTGTGATTAAATATTTGACACAGCATAGGTTTCTGACACAGAAAGAATGTGGTCTAAGAACTTCAATTTTTTTAATTTACCTATTATGGTCCAATGTCCAAAATCAAAATACATGGTTAGATTCAGCATATCAAAGAACCTCATATATTCAATTTTTGTTGAAATCAAACAAAGTTTAATTTTGGACCCCAACTTGGACAAACTTGAAAACTGGTCCCATAATCAAAAATCTAAACACATGTTTAGATTCAGCATATCAAAGTACCCCAAGAATTCAATTTTTGTTAAAATCAAACTAAGTTTAATTTTGGACCCTTTGGACCTTAATGTAGACCAATTTAAAAAACGGGACCCAAAATTAAAAATCAAAATACACGGTTAGATTTGGCATATCAAAGAACCCCAATAATTCAATTTTTGATGAAATCAAACAAAGTTTAATTTTGGACCCTTTTGACCTCAATATGAACCAATTTGATAGCGGGCCCACAAATAAAAAATCTAAATACATGGTTAGATTCAGCATATCAAAGAACCCCATATATTCAATTTTTGTTGAAATCAAACAAAGTTTAATTTTGGACCCCAATTTGGACCAACTTGAAAACTGGGCCAAAAATCTAAAATCTAAATACATGTTTAGATTCAGCATATCAAAGAACCCCATATATTCAATTTTTGTTGAAATCAAACAAAGTTTAATTTTGGACCCCAACTTGGACCAACTTGAAAACTGGGCCCATAATCAAAAATCTAAACACATGTTTAGATTCAGCATATCAAAGAACCCCAAGAATTCAATTTTTGTTAAAATCAAACTAAGTTTAATTTTGGACCCTTTGGACCTTAATGTAGACCAATTTAAAAAACGGGACCCAAAATTAAAAATCTAAAAACACAGTTAGATTTGGCATATCAAAGAACCCCAATAATTCAATTTTTGATGAAATCAAACAAAGTTTAATTTTGGACCTTTTGACCTCAATATGAACCAATTTGATAGCGGGCCCAAAAAATAAAAAATCTAAATACATGGTAAGATTCAGCATATCGAAGAACCCCATATATTCAATTTTTGTTGAAATCAAACAAAGTTTAATTTTGGACCCCAATTTGGACCAACTTGAAAACTGGGCCAAAAATCTAAAATCTAAATACATGTTTAGATTCAGCATATCAAAGAACCCCATATATTCAATTTTTGTTGGAATCAAACAAAGTTTAATTTTGGACCCCAACTTGAAAACTGGTCCCATAATCAAAAATCTAAACACATGTTTAGATTCAGCATATCAAAGAACCCCAAAAATTCAATTTTTGTTAAAATCAAACTAAGTTTAATTTTGGACCCTTGGGACCTTAATGTAGACCAATTTAAAAAACGGGACCCAAAATTAAAAATCTAAATACACGGTTAGATTTGGCATATCAAAGAACCCCAATAATTCAATTTTTGATGAAATCAAACAAAGTTTAATTTTGGACCCTTTTGACCGCAATATGAACCAATTTGATAGTGGGCCCACAAATAAAAAATCTAAATACATGGTAAGATTCAGCATATCAAAGAACCCCATATATTCAATTTTTGTTGAAATCAAACAAAGTTTAATTTTGGACCCCAACTTGGACCAACTTGAAAACTGGGCCCATAATCAAAAATCTAAACACATGTTTAGATTCAGCATATCAAAGAACCCCAAGAATTCAATTTTTGTTAAAATCAAACTAAGTTTAATTTTGGACCCTTTGGACCTTAATGTAGACCAATTTAAAAATGGGACCCAAAATTAAAAATCTAAATACACGGTTAGATTTGGCATATCAAAGAACCCCAATAATTCAATTTTTGATGAAATCAAACAAAGTTTAAATTTGGACCCTTTTGACCTCAATATGAACCAATTTGATAGCGGGTCCACAAATAAAAAATCTAAATACATGGTTAGATTCAGCATATCAAAGAACCCCAAGAATTCAATTTTTGATGAAATCAAACAAAGTTTAATTTTGGACCCTTTTGACCTCAATGTGGACAAAGTTGATAACGGGGCCCAAAAATCAAAAATCTAAATACATGGTTAGATTCAGCATATCAAAGAACCCCATATATTCAATTTTTGTTGAAATCAAACAAAGTTTAATTTTGGACCCCGATTTGGACCAACTTGAAAACTGGGCCCATAATCAAAAATCTAAATACATGTTTAGATTCAGCATATCAAAGAACCCTAAAAATTCAATTTTTGTTAAAATCAAACTAAGTTTAATTTTGGACCCTTTTGACCTTAATGTAGACCAATTTAAAAAACGGGACCCAAAATTAAAAATCTAAAAACACGGTTAGATTTGGCATATCAAAGAACCCCAATAATTCAATTTTTGATGAAATCAAACAAAGTTTAATTTTGGACCTTTTGACCTCAATATGAACCAATTTGAAAGCGGGCCCAAAAAATAAAAAATCTAAATACATGGTAAGATTCAGCATATCGAAGAACCCCATATATTCAATTTTTGTTGAAATCAAACAAAAAAAAGTTTAATTTTGGACCCCAATTTGGACCAACTTGAAAACTGGGCCAAAAATCTAAAATCTAAATACATGTTTAGATTCAGCATATCAAAGAACCCATATATTCAATTTTTGTTGGAATCAAACAAAGTTTAATTTTGGACCCCAACTTGGACTAACTTGAAAACTGGTCCCATAATCAAAAATCTAAACACATGTTTAGATTCAGCATATCAAAGAACCCCAAGAATTCAATTTTTGTTAAAATCAAACTAAGTTTAATTTTGGACCCTTTGGACCTTAATGTAGACCAATTTAAAAAACGGGACCCAAAATTAAAAATCTAAATACACGGTTAGATTTGGCATATCAAAGAACCCCAATAATTCAATTTTTGATGAAATCAAACAGTTTAATTTTGGACCCTTTTGACCGCAATATGAACCAATTTGATAGTGGGCCCACAAATAAAAAATCTAAATACATGGTAAGATTCAGCATATCAAAGAACCCCATATATTCAATTTTTGTTGAAATCAAACAAAGTTTAATTTTGGACCCCAATTTGGACCAACTTGAAAACTGGGCCAAAAATCTAAAATCTAAATACATGTTTAGATTCAGCATATCAAAGAACCCCATATATTCAATTTTTGTTGAAATCAAACAAAGTTTAATTTTGGACCCCAACTTGGACCAACTTGAAAACTGGGCCCATAATCAAAAATCTAAACACATGTTTAGATTCAGCATATCAAAGAACCCCAAGAATTCAATTTTTGTTAAAATCAAACTAAGTTTAATTTTGGACCCTTTGGACCTTAATGTAGACCAATTTAAAAACGGGACCCAAAATTAAAAATCTAAATACACGGTTAGATTTGGCATATCAAAGAACCCCAATAATTCAATTTTTGATGAAATCAAACAAAGTTTAAATTTGGACCCTTTTAACCTCAATATGAACCAATTTGATAGCGGGTCCACAAATAAAAAATCTAAATACATGGTTAGTTTCAGCATATCAAAGAACCCCAAGAATTCAATTTTTGATGAAATCAAACTAAGTTTAATTTTGGACCCTTTTGACCTTAATGTAGACCAATTTGAAAACGGAACCAAAAATTAAGAATCTAAATACACGGTTAGATTCGGCATATCAAAGAACCCCAATAATTCAATTTTTGATGAAATCAAACAAAGTTAAATTTTGGACCCTTTGGACCTCAATGTGGACCAATTTAAAAACGGGGCCCAAAATCCAAAAACTTAATACACGGTTAGATTCAGCATATTAAAGAACCCCAAGAATTCAAGAATAAAATCCCATTGAAATTGATCAAGAAATAAGTAATTTATACGGAGTATCTTCTTTTGCACAATACTGTGCAATTGAATATTTCTTGCTATTGTGCAATACTGTACAATTGACAATTTCTTGCTATTGTGCAATATTGTGCTATTGGATATTTCTTGCTATTGCGCAATACTGTGCAATTGAAGATTTCTTGCTATTGCGCAATACTGTGCAATTGAAGATTTCTTGCAATTGTGCAATACTGTGCAATTGAAAATTTCTTGCTATTGCACAATACTTATTATATAATAATTTACACATCCTGTTTGGTGTGTATCTCCTACCATATCATTATTATTTGCTTTTAAATATTAATCAGAAATAACCAACTTAAAATGGAAAATTTTAAAAGAAAAAAAAAAGGAAAAAAAGAAAAAAAAAGAAACCCCCCCCCCCCCCCCAAATTTTTTGAACCCCCTTATGATTCATCACCCCCAAACTCAATCCAAGCCTTCCCTTTGTGGTATGGTACCTTGCAGTACAATTTCAGAGAGATCCATACACTTGAACACAAGTTATTGTCTGGAAACTAGAAAAATGCTTATTTTTGGCCCCTTTTTGGCCCCTAATTCCTAAACGTTTCGGGCAATTACCCACAAACTCAATTCCAGCTTTCCCTTTGTGATATGGAACTTTGTAGTACAATTTCAGAAATATTCAAACACTTACACACAAGTTATTGTCATGAAACTAGAAAAATGCTTGTTTTTTGCCCCTTTTTTGGCCCCTAATTCCTAAAATTTTGAGGCAATTACCCCCAAAATCAATTACAGCCTTCCCTTTGTGATATGGAACCTTGTGGTACAATGTCAGAGAGATCCATACACTTACACACAAGTTATTGTCTGGAAGTTACAAAAATGCTTATTTTTGGCCCCTTTTTGGCCCCTAATTCCTTAACTGTTGGTACCATAACCCCCAAAATCAATCCCAACCTTCCTTTCGTGGTATTGAACCTTATGGTAAAATTTCATGGAGATCCATTCACTTAAACTAAAGTTAGAGTGCGAAAACCAATGTGTCTTCGGACGACGCCGGACGACGACGACGACGACGCCAACGTCATACCAATATACGACCAAAAAATTTTCAATTTTTGCGGTCGTATAATAATTGCTTGATTTGAATGTCTCAAATATTACTTACTTAATTAATTGCAAATTTGTATTCAAACACATAAAGTAGGTTCTATTGCCTGAATGCATATTTTTTCACAAAGTGATTTTTTTTTTATTAGAAAATTAGAACAGATATACAATTTTGTAGTATTCAGTAGCTATCACAAGATGTTTTTTCTTCTTTGATACAATTATAACAACCTGAAAACATACCGCTTCTGTTTTTTCAAACTTTCCTTCGATATAACGGTTAACAAAACAGGTCTTCCCAACACTGTATTCTCCCAGGATGATAACCTTCAGGTCCCTGCAATTCAAATATTAAAAAATGCAATTATATATATGGCTTCCTGATTTTTTTTTTGGCAATTATTATATTTTACATTTTTTTCAGTAATTCAGCTTGAGATTGACCATATTGTTATCATCTAAATGTGTTGTCACATGATTGATTCTGTAAAAGACAGAACATTTGCAATAAAATTTAAACAAACTGATTTTCTTCCTGTGCCATTGACACACACGGTCTGAAAGTATGATTCTTCCTCCACTATCTGCACCAAAATCCTCTCCAACTACCAGTCCCAAGACCAAAATCCTCTCCAACTACCAGTCCCAAGACCATACCAGTCCCAAGACCAAAATCCTCTCCAACTACCAGTCCCAAGACCAAAATCCTCTCCAACTACCAGTCCCAAGACCAAAATCCTCTCCAACTACCAGTCCCAAGACCAAAATCCTCTCCAACTACTAGTCCCAAGACCAAAATCCTCTCCAACTACCAGTCCCAAGACCAAAATCCTCTCCAACTACTAGTCCCAAGACCAAAATCCTCTCCAACTACCAGTCCCAAGACCAAAATCCTCTCCAACTACCAGTCCCAAGACCAAAATCCTCTCCAACTACCAGTCCCAAGACCAAAATCCTCTCCAACTACCAGTCCCAAGACCAAAATCCTCTCCAACTACTAGTCCCAAGACCAAAATCCTCTCCAACTACCAGTCCCAAGACCAAAATCCTCTCCAACTACTAGTCCCAAGACCAAAATCCTCTCCAACTACCAGTCCCAAGACCAAAATCCTCTCCAACTACCAGTCCCAAGACCAAAATCCTCTCCAACTACCAGTCCCAAGACCAAAATCCTCTCCAACTACCAGTCCCAAGACCAAAATCCTCTCCAACTACCAGTCCCAAGACCAAAATCCTCTCCAACTACCAGTCCCAAGACCATACCAGTCCCAAGACCAAAATCCTCTCCAACTACCAGTCCCAAGACCAAAATCCTCTCCAACTACCAGTCCCAAGACCAAAATCCTCTCCAACTACCAGTCCCAAGACCAAAATCCTCTCCAACTACCAGTCCCAAGACCAAAATCCTCTCCAACTACTAGTCCCAAGACCAAAATCCTCTCCAACTACCAGTCCCAAGACCAAAATCCTCTCCAACTACTAGTCCCAAGACCAAAATCCTCTCCAACTACCAGTCCCAAGACCAAAATCCTCTCCAACTACCAGTCCCAAGACCAAAATCCTCTCCAACTACCAGTCCCAAGACCAAAATCCTCTCCAACTACCAGTCCCAAGACTAAAATTCCGATATTTTTCTTGTGTGTATAAACATGATAAGTAAACAAAGTTTTGTAAATACTTACTTGCCAGAATAAAATTTTACTAGTCTGGGGCATTGGACTAGTGGCTTATATGCTAATGGTGCAGTTTGCCTTTACAGTTTTTTCATTCAGTTTTTCATGCGCAAATTAAAGAAAGGTCACAGATCGGAGAAAACAGAAATGCGGAGCTCAAAGTATTTATTGTTACAGGTACATGTACATGAAATGCTTTTTCTTAATTTTTCTGTATTCTGGGAGGAAAATATGTCTATCTTTTCTGTGCTTACCTGGTTTTGGTGTACTGAATGTTGCTGTCTGTGTACAAGTGCACTGGTTTCAATGTTTTCCTAACACATTTTTTTCGAAGGACAGTGACATAAACTTTGAAGAATTGGGCTTGTACATAGTAACTGCAGTGTTCTAGTTAGGGACTGAAGACAGAGAGGCACTTTGCATGACCATCAAATTTTTTCTTTTAAATTGGCAAATGTAAATAGTCCATTTAGTCATGTTATTCTATATTATTTTTACCCCAACTTAACTTCCTACTTGCAGAGATATGTGAGGTTTCCAATGCCTTAAAAAATTAAATGGAAAATGTGTCCATGGGACACAGATGATGCCCCCGCTTGCATATAACAATGTATAACGTTATAAAGGGACATGACTCAAGATTGGTAAAAGAGACACCACCCAAATTCAAACTTGGTCTGGGTTTTGTTGTAATAAGCATTGTGTATAAATTTCACAACATTTGGTTGAGGCAAACTTAAGTTAGAGAATGGAAACGAAAAATTCAGCTGTTTTCCATTTGTAAACAGTCAAGGATATAACTCTATAGGGTTATTAGAGAAAAATAACATACATTTGTTATTGTGGACTAAAAAATCAAAGAACTGCATGTGATAACATATGTATGTTACATGTTTCAAAGGGACAATATACATCATTTGTTTTGTTAAAATGTATACAAGTTCTATTGATATTACTATTGTCTTTATGTATACTTAACTATAGAAAGATATAACAGTTCATAGTTTGCCAATCATGCATAGTACACCTATGTTATTGCAGAAAAAGTATGCCTATAATAACTAAAGGGTGTTATTACAGCTTCTCTACATCACTCCTAAGCATTTGTTCAGACATTCATCATGCTTAATTACAATGAATTTTAATTTATTGTAAGAAATAATGATCAGAGCATGTAATGAGGTTCTGCGCAAGCTTCCCAGTAATTCCCAAGTGTCTCATACATGTATAACAAGTTACATGCCTTTATATTAATAACTAAGCCTTGTTATTACAGCTAAGTTTATCCCTTAAAAGCCTCGTCTCATTGATTTACCATGGTAAATGAAAAATGTATTAATTTAATTCAAAAATTAGTTATCAAGGCTATGCATTTAGTTTCTGCGCAAAGTTTCCAGAGTTCCCTAGAGCCCACTAAAAATCAAATTATGTATGATTTATTTTACAAATAACAAACATATGTTATTACAGATTTAGAAAAATTTAAGGATTAAAGAGTAGACAACTCATGAAAGTATCTGTAATAACACATTCAAGTTATTTTCTGTAATAACCCTATAGAGTTATATCCCTGACTGGTAAAGGGGCATAACTCAAGAACGGTAAAAGTGATGCCACCCAAAATCAAACTCGATCTGTGTTTTGTGGTAATATTGAGGCAAAACAGATGTATGGACTGACGTAAAGATGGACAAGGGTAACACTTAATGCCTCTCATCTGCGGCGGGGAATAAAATTTTTTTCACTGTCTTGCTTTCTTCAAGGGTTAATGCTCCAGATACCGCCATTAAGCAAGATGAATAGATGACAAGGATTTGAAATCATCTAGGAATTTATACATGTTATATACAGTAATTTGGAGGTTCATTGGTTCTACATCTGACAGCAGTGTATTTAATGTGGAGGTGCGTTTAAGGTCTAACACAGTTTAGTTCCTTTCACCACCTTTTTTAGAGCCATATTTAAATTTTAATGTTATCTAAATGCAAAAGCTTCAAATTGTTTTAAAAGTTTAATATGAATTGTAAAACAACAGTTTTTGAATATAACACTCAAGAGTAATTGTTTACATGTATATGTATGTAAACACAACCATTTTTGTACTATTCATGCTATTGTTATCAGTCACTAAATTTGTTATCCATTTGCCAAATTGGGATTCTGTCTCTCAAGTGATTAGTAGGAGGCCAATTTGGGATATTTCTGGGGATACAGAATGACAAAAGGGATTAGTTACCCGTTACCTACAAGTAGTCTTTATCTTCCTCCTGACCCTTAGCAGGAGATTCGCTTTCCACATGTTATAATTTGCACCATTCAACTTATTGATCTGACATGCGAAGCCCTCTTACAAAAAATGTAGCATAAGTCATCATTGTTAGTATTAGTCGGTATATGTATGTTACTATACATGTACATAAAAGTATAATTAATAGGCAACTTTCGAATTCATGCATTTTCCCGTAAATTTCCTATGTCACACAGCTTATGTTATTACATTGTACATCACAGTAAAAACTGATTGTTCGATTACATGGTTTACGCTGACTGACCTCTGGTCAATTGATGTTAATCATTCATAAAAAACAGCTCGAGATTGGTGTATAGTTCACGCTTTCATGTTGATCCGGCCCCAAGTGTTTCGTCTCAAGTCGTTTCATCCCAAGTCGATCCGGCCCCAATTTAAAAAAATATTTATGAGGAATGAAAAAATATATATATATGAATTGTAATAATATTAAAGATGGACGGTAAAAATAGTAAGCCTATTATCACTGATTATATTCAAATATTAATTTTCATTAGACAAATGTTAGATGAGATATTTGAATTGGAAGATTTTTTTAAATATGTCAAATATTTATATTAAGATTTCATATAGAAATATAATATCATTTTGATATAAAATATTTGAATTCACATCAATTTATCACCTTAAACACATTAAATGCTAAGGCAAATTTGCAGATCTAACAATGCTGTTTCTAAATTGGAAACGAAGTATACATAAATTACAGTGTTAGCTTTGTATAACCACAGGTTATCCAATGGATAATGTTGTCACATATTTAGACGTATTTAACAAAAATTAAAATTTGATGTGTTGGCATGGCATAAATTATACATTAAATTAAAATTATCATCCCTTACTAGACAAAAAAAAAATTAAACATCTGATCTGCAAGGTTCAATAAAAGAACAGTGTTCCAATATCCCCTGCGTTGCACATATTTTAAATTTACAAGGGGCATTCCTCTTTTAAATAAATGTGGATAGTGTCCACGTGGACACAGATGATGCCCCCGCTTGCATATCATATAGTTATAAAGGGACATAACTGAAGAACAGTAAAAGTGATGCTACCCAAATTTGAACTTGATCTGAGTTTTGTGGCAATAAGCATTGTGTGTAAGTCTCATAACATTTGGTTGTGGCTAACTTAAGTAGAGAACAGAAACTAAAAATTCTGCAATTTTTCTATTTGCAAACACGCATAACTCTAGAACGGTTGTGTATAAGTTTTATAACATTTGGTTGAGACAAACTAAAGTTAGAGAACGGAAACGAAAAATTCAGCAATTTTTATGTTTATAAAGGGACATAACTCAAGAATGGTAAAAGTGTTGCCACCAAATTTCGTACTTAATCTGTATTATGTAGTAATAAGCATCATGAGCATTGTGTATAAGTTTCATACCATTTGGTTGAGGCAAACTAAATTTAGAAAACGGAAACAAAAAATTTGTACTTGATCTTAGTTTTGTGGTAATGAATATTGTGTATAGGTTTCATAATGTTTGGTTAATAAACATTCTTATATTAACACTTACCTATAGTTTTTTTAAGTTAAATTTATTCAGATTGGTCCACTTCATCTTTATTGAAAACTACAACTACACTTATGAAAAAAGTTTAATTGTGAAACTGTGATTTTTTTCATGATAATAGTCCAAAAATGGGTAAAAACTGATGAAAAATGGGAAAATCATCAGAATTGGGTGCTTTCAAATGGCCGTAGCAAAAAAAGAAGTGCACCAACATGTGATTTTTTCGTCACCAATTATTTTTTTACAGTCAAAGAATCCCAAAAATCAAGTTAAGTTAAAAAGTTTAATTCTAAAACTTTTTGGCTCCTCAGACATGTCAGAGGTGTACATCCTTAAGTAAAAACTATTTCGAATTGGGGCCAGATTGGTTTGGGGCTAGTCCAAATAATTATGACGTCTTGCAAGGCTATGTTAATTTTTTTCTGTGACGCCTTCCTATGAAAAAATTAAAATAGCTTTGCAAGACGTCATAATTATCAGTCGGGGGACTTATTGAAATAAGTGATTTTTAAATCACTTATTTAAGTCATGTACGTAGCAAATTCGAAGTTTTGTCACAAATTGTGATTTTGTAATTTACCAAAATTTTAAACACATACATGAGATAGGTCATTTGTAGGTTTAGATAATATCTTTTCATTAGTAAAATTGAAAAAAATGAACTTTTTGCTTCTTTTAAGCGGCAAGGTTTATGCCTTTGATGCCATCATTTAGCTGCAAATTCTATTTTAGTTGAAAAAATGCTATAAAAATGGCTTTACATAATCAGTCAAGGGTCTAACTTAATTAAGTTATTAGAGAAAAATAACATACATGTCGTTATTGTGGGCTGAAATATAAAAAAACTGTGATAACATATGTATGTTACATGTTTCAAAGGGACAATATACAACCTTTATTTTGTTAAATTTTTCACAAGTTCTAATGATATTATAATTTTCTTTATGTATACTAAACTTTGCAAAGATATAACCGTTCATAGTTTACCAATCATGCATAGTACACCTATGTTATTACAGAAAATATATTCCTGCAATAACCAAAGGGTGTTAATACAGCTTCTATACATCTCTTTAAAGCCTTTGCTCAGACATATATCACAATGTATTTCAATTCATTGTAAGAAATGATGATCAGAGCTTGTAATGAGGCACTGCGCAAGATTCCAAGTAATTCCTAAGTGTCTCATTTACTCTCATATAATAAGTTACATGCCTGTAATAACTAAGCCTTGTTATTACAGCTTAGTTTTGCCTTAAAGGCCTTGTCTCATCGATTTAACATGGTTGATCAAAATTGTATTAATGGAATTGGAAATTTCACTGTTCGGGGGGGTGTTGAAATTAGTGGGGGTTATTAAAATAATGATACTTATAAAGAAGTGATTTTTTGGAAGGAAATTGAGTTATGATACTTAAACAAGTGATTTTTATGTCATTATCCTAGATTTAGTACAAGGTCATCACCTGACATGACCCAGTCATGACCACACAGATGTTGGTTCTGATAATTTTAGCAACATGATTAGTCCCTGGATCATTAGTATTCTATATTTAAAGCTACAATAAAATTAAATCACTTAGTCTAGTGATTAATTTGTACTACTTAAATAGGTGATTATCAAAGAAAGACAACTCTTACTTCCAACCTTTATGGACATAATGTTACTAGAATCAGTGGTTTAGAAAATCACTCATTTAAGTAAGTCCCCTGACTGATTATTTGGACTAGTTTGGCCGTAGGTCTTTTCACCACCGAACGCCACCGCACACCGCCGAACACCACCGAACACATTAAAATACCATCTAACACACCTAAATATATAATGTTTTCATCTTTATTTATATATTTGACTTACCTTCTGAACGAGGATGAATATGTTTATACATATATATATATATACCCAAATTAATGAGAAATGATAACAAGAGAACCAAAAAGAACAGTCTTGAAGGGCTGTTGTCAGAACAGTACACTTTCAAGTCTAACATTTTTTAAATATAATTATTGTGATAATTTCACATTAAATAAAATGTTTTAACTTATTTGAACAATTTATTTCTAATAATTGAAAAGTAAAGACCATAAGATAATATACAATGAAATACAGACAATGTAAATCCGGAAAAATATTGCTGGATCCGGAAGCGTTTTTTTTTTAATTTTGATTCTCAACTTTAACATCACTAATGCAGATAAAAATGTGAAAAACATGACAATAGGATTACATTTTACGTAATTTAATCGATTTTATTGTTTTATTGTGTAACATTACTGTTTTTCTTAAGGGTTAGTGGTCTTTTTGGGAGTTCGGTGGTGTTCGGCTGTGTGCGGTGTTGTTCGGTGGTGAAAAGACCGACCCCAAGTTTGGGGCTGGAACGACCTGACAGTGACACTCATGCAATAAGTCATTTATAGCATGCTGAATATTTCATCATCACATATACGTATGTAGAAACGATTAAGCATGGTATTCGTTTCAAGATAGAAAATATTTAATACTTAGAATTCCAATTGTCAAGCCTTTCACAGAATCTATATATTGATTTCGTTGAACTTTAAGCCTTACCATTTTCAGTTTTCTTTTATTTTGTATGTACTGAATTATTGTGTGTTTAGCAAAACTTACGCTTTCTTCTTAATTCCTGGGGTTGCCATTTTCCCTTCCACTGAGGGTTGTCAGTTTATATTTATACATGTGTCATAATCAAAAATCTTTGAATCATATCACACCCAGCTGAGAAACTAAACCGGAAGTTTTTATTGCTGAACTGGTTGAGTTAAATACCACACATATGTAAAGTGTTACAGTATGTCAACAGAAACCCCAATATCTTAATATTTTATTTGACACTTTATTAACTTTGACGTTTGAACATCACATTTTTGATAAAAGCATATCCCCTCCACATCTTTAACATCAGGTCGTTTCGGGCCGTTGGTATTCGTGTCCGTCTCTCATCCCAGGTTCTATTTTAACCTATAATAATTTGTCTTCTGGCACCGTCTGATGTGAAATAACTGAATAATTATTGATTATCTTAAAACATATAAGTTTTATTTCATTCTTATCATTAATCTTTGTTAACCATTAACCAAATGGAAACCAAAAAAAAAAAAAAAAAAAAAAAAACATTTCCTGATTTTAGAAGACAAAAAAGTACAATTCATACTAGGGAAATGGATTTGTATCAGAGCACTGCACCTGTTTCATAATTCATTTTTGAATATTACTTGATGCTATAATAGAATGCTTTATAGATACGGATACGTAAGAAATGTAGGTTTAACGTTCGACGTATCTATACTGGAAAACTTGTGCTATAAATTCAGCTTTTAGATAGTATTTAATTTATGTTTGGCCTAACTATTATAAAATTCCGCTACTTTTTATACCTCCATAACGTTTATTGGTGAAGCTTTTAAATCAAGAATTCCAAGTTGTGAAGTTGAAATCATCCCTTCAAAAATGTTACGAACGCCATCACGAGTTGGTGGACCGTTAAAGTTGTAATAAAATCTTTGAATATTGTTTACATTGGCACTTACATCGATGTTGTCATCAACAAATTGAAACATAACTAAATTTGTATTCTTTTCGAATGTTTTTTTTTGGGGTGTAAAAATACACATCCACATTAATTTTCTATTTAGAGATTGCTTTATCTATATAACATGATACATATTTATTATAAGGTTAAATCCTAACGATCCTACTCCTGTCGATACTTTTATTTTGGAATTGCACCAGCATACCTGCCAACATTTCAAAATACCCATGGGGGTTTATGTGCAAGATGGCTACCTGCCAACATTTCAAAATACCCATGGGGGTTTATGTGCAAGATGGCTCTTATAGTCCTACAAAACCTTCAAGGGGTCCTGCAAATCTATTTTAATGTTGTTTTTTTGGTTTTTCATCAATCCTATAGCCATTGTAAAATTGATTGTTTCGTTTAAAATTGTGGACAAAATTACTCTTTCAAAATTTCCATTTGGGAGCTTTCATGGGGGAAATCCCCCGCAAATAGTGACAGTTGGCAGATATGCACCAGTCATGTCTTCTATGACTGTCCATGGCGTTAAAACACTAAATCCCTGGGATATGTTTTAATTGATGTTATAGTCTCTGATGCATGATTTTTTATTGTTAATTGTTTTTGGCTTTTATCTAGCTTTCAGTAACTGCGAGTACGTACTCTCAAATCGTACTTTCGTGTTAATTTGATCTGTTGACACAATTTGTAATGCATTTCTGTAATTCAATGTTTACTTATTTTGTGTAATATCTCGTCTCACTATTTTTAATATGTACCACCATTGATAAGTATTTAGTATGACGATAAATTTTCACTTCTGTACTCGTACTCTGAACAACAAATTTATTAATTTTGTAAAAAATGTTTACTTCCGTACTCTTAACAACAAACTTATTATATTTAAATTTACCTGTGTACGTTGTTTTATTTAACGCCATTTTGTCCCAGGTAAGAGTTGTCTTATTGACACTCTACATACATCTTTTTATTACTACCTGTAACGTCTATGTTATATAGGCACCTACGTTTTAATATTGTATTTATATTGTGTCATAGATCAAACTTATTCGTTCAGTGTATGTTTACTTGTTTTTGTTTAAATGTCTTTTTGATCGAGTTAAGCCATTTCAATTGATAATTTATAGTGTGTCTTTTTATGTTGTAATGTTACACTACGGTCTCAGATTAGGGTGAAGGTTGGCGCCTGTTAAAATGTTTAAACCAGCTGCATTTTTATGCACCTGTCCTAAGTCAGGAGCCTGTTGTTCAGTGGTTGTCGTTTGTTTGGTGTGGTTCATAGGTGTTTCTCGTTTCTCGTTTTTTATATAGATTAGACCGTTGGTTTTCATGTTTGAATTGTTTTACACAAGTCATTTTGGGGCCTTTTATAGCTTGCTGTTCGGTCTGAGCCAAGGCTCCGTGCTGAAGGCCGTACTTTGACCTATAATTGTTAACTTTTTATACATTGTGACTTGGATGGAGAGTTGTCTCATTGGCACTCATAACTCACCTTCTTGTTTATACGTAATGGAATATCTGTTTCACAGATGACGACGAATATGTTCCAATTATCGTACCCACAACCCTGTCCTTTTTCTCTCAGATTAAACGTATCATCGGGGTTTTTTACTTACATGATCAACACGACGGGTGCATACATGTGGAGCAAGATCAGCTAATTACTCTTTCTGAGCACCCGAGATTACCCCCGGGATTTGGTTTGGTTCGTGTTTCTCAGTCTTTATTTTTCTATGTTGCGTTTTGTGTACTGTTGTCTGTCTTTTCGTCGTTTTTCTGCCTTTGCATACGCGATCATTTTGATTTCGACGTTTGAGTTTGAATATCCATTTTGTATCTTTTGCCTCTTTTTTTAAGTAAGATATAAAAGAACTTTATAAAAAGATTAAATGCTTTATATAAGCAATCTCTCATCCACTTCGATGATTTGAAGCAAGAGAAGCGTGTTTAAAAATAGAGTCAATTGCTAATTCGACAAATGCAAAAGAATGACATGTCCCATAAAGAAAGACAAAAAAATAAATGCCCTTTGCCAGGAAAAGGAAAGAAACAGCTACATCTGTAATTCTGAAATATGTTTATGAACATTGAATCACTAACAGGTGATCTGATTTCATCTCGGTATCTCTTATTTAGTAAGATTTACAGAATCTTATCTTTACAAACATGTAAAAGAGGCGGTAAAAAAATAGGTGGTAAAGATAGGACAGTGTTCATTTCAACACATTCTGAAGGCTGAAATTCCAGTTTATATAAAAAGAAAAACAATGAAACTGTTTCAGAATAAACTCATCATAGATACCAAGATTGAAAAGGACAATATGTGTGTTATCCTAAGATTTTGTTCATATTGCAGAGATTTCATTTACAATACAGTCTTGTGATTTGTTCGTTTGTCACTGACGTGTACCCCACGTGTTTTTTAATTCTCGATCTATATCAAAATGCTTTTCCTACATTAAATACCTTGATATTGTTACCAGTATGACGTACTGGAAATACTATATGTGGCAGTATTTAAAGACACGTAATTTAACTGAGATTTCATAGTAAGATTGAGCTTCCTAATAAATATTATCTTTTTCATTTATATAATAATTAGTGTTAATGAATATTTTGCAAGCTGGTGGTCGCTGTTTTGTCAACTTCTTCTACTACAGAGAATCAGACAAGTGTTGTAGACTGCCAATTCAAATATTCAATGTTCATGAAGATTCAGTGTGTCATTTCCACGAACTGAAATCATACGTATCGATTCAGATAAAAGACATAATTATATCGTTAGAAAAGTAAGAAGATGTGGTACGTATGATTGCCAATGAGACAACTCTCTCCATTAGAGACCAAACAACGTCGACGTTAACAGCTACAGGTCATCGTACGGCCTTCAGCAATGAGCAAAACCTATGCCACATAGTAATCCATAAAAGGACCCAAAATGACAGATCAAGGTTGTTACAGGTAATAGATGAACTCATTTTGAAAAATATGTGTGAGGAATAAGATATTAGTCTATATTTCAGGTTTCATTTTTTCTTTTCCAAAATACAATGATAGAATTATAGATACAATACCAAAAGACAAATGTTGTTTAGATATTTAATTAAATTGAAAGGAAATATACGAAAAAAGTGTATTAGCTTCATTGTTACACAGTAATATATACATTTAATATAAATGTGTTAAAAACTTGATTTATTCAAGTTATATGCCTCATTTATCAATTTTTTTTTCCTTTCTTTATGGGACATGTGATTCTTTTGCATTTGTCGAATTAGCAATCAACTCTCTTTTTAGACACCCTTCTCTTACTTCAAATCATCGAAGTGGAAGAGAGATTGCTTATATAAAGCATTTATTTTTTTTATATTGTTCTTTATCTTACTAAAAAAGGGCAAAAGAAACCAAATAGAAATTCAAACTCAAAAGTCGAAAACAAAATGACCGCGTATGCAAAAGGCAGAAAAACAACGAAAAGACAAACAACAGTTCACAAAACACAACATAGAACATAAAGACTTAGAAACACGAACCAAACCAAATCCCGGGGGTAATCTCAGGTGCTCAGAAAGAGTAATTAGCTGATCTTAACCCACGTGTATGCACCTGTCGTGTTGATCATGTAAGTAATAAAACCGGTGATACGTTTAATCTGAGGGGAAAAGGACAGGGTTGTGGGTACGATAATTGGAACATATTCGTCGTCATCTGTGAAGCAGATATTCCATTACGTATAAATAAGAAGGTGTGGTATGAGTGCCAATGAGACAACTCTCCATCCAAGTCACAATGTATAAAAAGTTAACAATTATAGGTCAAAGTACGGCCTTCAGCACGGAGCCTTGGCTCAGATCGAACAGCAAGCTATAAAAGGCCCCAAAATGACTATGTAAAACAATTCAAACATGAAAACCAACGGTCTAATCTATATAAAAAACGAGAAACGAGACACACCTATGAACCACACCAAACAAACGACAACCACTGAACAACAGGTTCTTGACTTAGGACAGGTGCACAAAAATGCAGCTGGTTTAAATGTTTTAACAGGCGCCAACCTTCACCCTAACCTGAGACAGTAGTGTAACATTACAACATAAAAAGACACACTATAAATTATCAATTGAAATGGCTTAACTCGATCAAAAAGACATTTAAACAAAAACAAGTAAACATACGCTGAACGAATAAGTTTGATCTATGACTCAAT